ACATACGCCCTGGGGAGGGGAGTGGAGAGGGATGGAGATGGATGGGTAGGAGTTGAGAAGGGTAGAGAAGGGGGCGCTCAAGCCATAGATGTAGCACATGGGGAGGTAGACCATTCGACAGTGGCACCACATGCGATGCGACCTGGGAAGGGCGATTGGGAGGGAGGAATGGAGTGTGCGAGGGGGAAAGAGGGATGAACCGAGAGCAAGGGAGAGAGAGAGAAAACTCAAAACTATGATGCACTGTTTCATTTTGTGCGCTGCGGGGTGACTAGATCGTGCATGTATCCAATGCTCTTGGAACGCTGCGAATGTCTCAATGCAACATCTTGCCAGGTGTTTGTGATTTACCTTGTGGTACCACTCACACAAGGAGCATCGTCCAGGGAAGAGGGAAGTAAGAAGAGGGAAGAGGAGGACATACCAGGGTGCATGGGGAGGAAGTAGGGCAGCAGCCACATCTCAGGCGGCATGGGGTTGATGCCCTTGTAGTCATACACGCCTAGCACCTGCCCATTGCAGCAACAGTGGATGCATGAGGGGATATGTGGGGGAAGGTCGAGTGCTTAGAGGCGCTCAGGAGGTTTCTGGCGGCATGGGGTTGATGCCCCTGTAGACTGTAGCCGTACACGCCTAGCACCTGCCCATGATAGCAACAGGGGATGCATGAGAGGATATGCGATGGAAAGGTGAGTGCTTGGAGGGCCTCAGAAGCTTTCACCATACCCCTGTAATCATACACGCCTAGCACCTGCCGATCGCAGCATTGGAGGATGCATGAGGGGGGCGGGGAGGGGACTTGTGAGGAAAAGGGTTCGTGCTTAGACACGCTCAGGGAGTGGCATGGGGTTGACGTCCCTGTTGTCATACACGCCTAGCACCTGCCCAATGCCCATCGCAACAACGATGGCAAGTGAATGCGAAGGAGAGTGAGGGAAACGGCACCCACACACGCCAACGGAACCTGCAGCAGCAGTATCTGCCCAGTAGGGTTGCGTTGCATTGCTGCGAAACAACAAGATAAGAATAAACTACAGGAGAGGATAGAGTCGGCTGCTCAAAAGAGTTTACTAACAGGATGGTCCTTCTGTCTCGTGCATCCCTTTTGAGTCGACTCAAAAGTTTCTGGAGAGAGAGAGTCGGGTCGGGTGCTCAAAAGTGTTTACTAACGGGATGGTCCTTCTGTCTCGTGCATCCCTTCTGTCAGCTGATGGTACGAGGATGCAAGAAACAGAAGGTCAACAAGAAGTGGGTGACCAATCGGGGGTTGAAGGGTTAATTGGGCAACTGCAACACCATTGGTCACGAACGTAGTCTAAAAGGTGACCCTTAAAAAACACATAGTTCCCGGAGTGCACTCACGCAGAGCCAGAATTTGCCCCAGGAGGTGCTGGCAGTGGCACCGGCATGGCAGCAGAATGCAGATGGTAATTAAATACATAGTCCCTCCTCCCTCCCTCCCTCCCTCCCTCCCTCCTCCTCCCTCCCTCCCTCCCTCCCTCCCTCCCTCCCTCCCTCCCTCCCTCCCTCCCTCCCTCCCTCCCTCCCTCCCTCCCTCCCTCCCTCCCTCCCTCCCTCCCTCCCTCCCTCCCTCCCTCCCTCCCTCCCTCCCTCCCTCCTCCCTCCCTCCCTCCCTCCCTCCCTCCCTCCCTCCCTCCCTCCCTCCCTCCCTCCCTCCCTCCCTCCCTCCCTCCCTCCCTCCTCCCTCCCTCCCTCCCTCCCTCCCTCCCTCCCTCCCTCCCTCCCTCCCTCCCTCCCTCCCTCCCTCCCTCCCTCCCTCCCTCCCTCCCTCCCTCCCTCCCTCCCTCCCTCCCTCCCTCCCTCCCTCCCTCCCTCCCTCCCTCCCTCCCTCCCTCCCTCCCTCCCTCCCTCCCTCCCTCCCTCCCTCCCTCCCTCCCTCCCTCCCTCCTCCCTCCTCCCTCCCTCCCTCCCTCCCTCCCTCCCTCCCTCCCTCCCTCCCTCCCTCCCTCCCTCCCTCCCTCCCTCCCTCCCTCCCTCCCTCCCTCCCTCCCTCCCTCCCTCCCTCCCTCCCTCCCTCCCTCCCTCCCTCCCTCCCTCCCTCCCTCCCTCCCTCCCTCCCATCCCTCCTCCCTCCCTCCCTCCCTTCCCTCCCTCCCTCCCTCCTCCCTCCTCCCTCCCTCCCTCCCTCCCTCCCTCCCTCCCTCCCTCCCTCCCTCCTCCTCCCTCCCTCCCTCCCTCCCTCCCTCCCTCCCTCCCTCCCTCCCTCCCTCCCTCCCTCCCTCCCTCCCTCCCTCCCTCCCTCCCTCCCTCCCTCCCTCCCTCCCTCCCTCCCTCCCTCCCTCCCTCCCTCCCTCCCTCCCTCCCTCCCTCCCTCCCTCCCTCCCTCCCCCTCCTCCCTCCCTCCCTCCCTCCCTCCCTCCTCCCTCCCTCCCTCCCTCCCTCCCTCCCTCCCTCCCTCCTCCCTCCCTCCCTCCCTCCCTCCCTCCCTCCCTCCCTCCCTCCCTCCCCCTCCCTCCCTCCCTCCCTCCCTCCCTCCCTCCCTCCTCCTCCCTCCTCCCTCCCTCCCTCCTCCCTCCCTCCCTCCCTCCCTCCCTCCCTCCCTCCCTCCCTCCCTCCCTCCCTCCATCCCTCCCTCCCTCCCTCCCTCCCTCCCTCCCTCCCTCCCTCCCTCCTCCCTCCTCCTCCCTCCCTCCCTCCCTCCCTCCCTCCCTCCCTCCCTCCCTCCCTCCCTCCCTCCCTCCCTCCCTCCCTCCCTCCCTCCCTCCCTCCTCCCTCCCTCCCTCCCTCCCTCCCTCCCTCCCTCCCTCCCTCCCTCCCTCCCCTCCCTCCCTCCCTCCCTCCCTCCCTCCCTCCCTCCCTCCCTCCCTCCCTCCCTCCCCTCCCTCCCTCCCTCCCTCCCTCCCTCCCTCCCTCCCTCCCTCCCTCCCTCCCTCCCTCCCTCCCTCCCTCCCTCCCTCCCTCCCTCCCTCCCTCCCTCCCTCCCTCCCTCCTCCCTCCCTCCCTCCCTCCCTCCCTCCCTCCCTCCCTTCCCTCCCTCCCTCCCTCCCTCCCTCCCTCCCTCCCTCCCTCCCTCCCTCCCTCCCTCCCTCCCTCCCTCCTCCTCCCTCCCTCCCTCCCTCCCTCCCTCCCTCCCTCCCTCCCTCCCTCCCTCCCTCCCTCCCTCCCTCCCTCCCTCCCTCCCTCCTCCCTCCCTCCCTCCCCTCCCTCCCTCCCTCCCTCCCTCCCTCCCTCCCTCCCTCCTCCCTCCCTCCCTCCCTCCTCCTCCCTCCCTCCCTCCCTCCCTCCTCCCTCCCTCCTCCCTCCCTCCCTCCCTCCCTCCCCCTCCCCTCCCTCCCTCCCTCCCTCCCCTCCCTTCCCTCCCTCCCTCCCTCCCTCCCTCCCTCCCCCTCCCTCCCTCCCTCCCATCCCTCCCTCCCTCCCTCCCTCCAGCCTCCCGCCTCCCTCCCTCCCTGCACCTTCCCTCCCTCCCTCCCTCCTCCCTCCGCTCCTCCCTCCCTCCCTCCATCCCTCCCTCCCTCCCTCCCCTCCCTCCCTCCCTCCCTCCCTCCCTCCCTCCCTCCATCCCTCCCTCCCTCCCTCCCTACCTCCCTCCCCCTCCCTCCCTCCCTCCACTCCCTCCCTCCCTCCCCTTCCCTCCCTCCCTCCCCTCCCTCCACTCCCTCCCTCCTCCTCCCGCCCTCCCTCCCGCCCTCCTCCCTCCCTCCCTCACCTCCCTCCTCCCTCCCTCCCTCCCTCCCTCCCTTCCCTCCCTCCCTCCCATCCCTCCCTCCCTTCCCTCACTGCACTCACGCAGACGCAAGAATTTGCCCCAGGAGGTGCTGGCAGTGGCGCTGCCGTGCGACAGGATCCACTCGCAGGCAAGCTGTCATGGCGGGATTGGCGGGATGCTCGCCGAGGATGCGCAGGGAGACGTAGCTGAGGGTTGAGCCGAACATGGTGCTGTGGCCCTCTATGTGCAGCCCCCACCCGCCGTCCGGGTTCTGTGGGGGGAGGTGTGGAGGGGTGTCGGGAGGGGATGGGAAGGCAAGGCGTGGTGAGTATCTATAGGGCCAGACATGGTGGTGCTGTGGGCCCGTACGTATAGCCCCTAAATGCTGTCAGGGTCTGACGGAGGGATGAGACGGTGTGAGGACTGGCGGGGTGCTCGCCGAGGATGCGCAGGGAGACGTAGTTGAGGGTGGAGCCGAACATGGTGCTGTGGCCCTCTATGTGCAGCCCCCACCCGCCGTCAGGGTTCTGGGTGGGAGGGTGAGAGATGGGATGGAGACGGGGAGGAAATTGGGTATACAGAGGGTGAAAAGGGGGGGGTGTGAGAAATGGTGCTTCATGAGAGGGTTGATCCGAACATGGTGCTGTGGCCCTCTATGTGCAGCCCCCACCCTCCGTCGGTGTTCTGGCGGAGGGGTGGGAGGGGGTAAAAGGTGGGGGATTGGGAGGATGGAGGGTAGAGGATAGAGAGGTAGAGGAGGGGCGAAGAGGGGACACAAGAGATGAAGACTCAGGAGGAGGTTGACCCGAACACGGTGCTGTGACCCTCTTTCCCCCAAACGCTAAACCATGCAATCGGGCTACCATGAAAACCCCCTCCTTCGGAATCCCTTCTTCCCTATCCATCCCAATCAGCACCAACCCACCTGGTGGTTGTAGAGGTACCGCACCATCTCCCTCTTGTGCTCCGCTGTCAGCACCTGGTCCAGGGCGCCCGTCACATGCAGCGTGATCAGCTGAGACGTGTAATACAGGAGAGGGGAGAAGGGGAAGAGGAAAAATGATCCTTTGAGTGCACTGCAGTGCAAGGAAGACTCTTGTGCTCTGCTGACAGCACCTGGTCGTGACAAGCAGGCAGCGCGATCAAAGGGGGGTTGGGATGGGAGGGGGTAGCACAAGGAAGAAGAACTTGAGACGGAAACGCTCTGTTCCGCTTTATTCAGGGGTCCCGCACGCTCTATTGTCGCACGCCAGCTGGAACAGGTTTGCGATGCGAGCTCTGCTGCCAGCTGGAACAGGTTTGCGATGCGAGCTCTGCTGCCAGCTGGAACAGGTTTGCGATGTGAGGTCTGCTGCCAGCTGGAACAGGTTTGCGATGCGAGCTCTGCTGCCAGCTGGAACAGGTTTGCGATGCGAGCTCTGCTGCCAGCTGGAACAGGTTTGCGATGCGAGCTCTGCTGCCAGCTGGAACAGGTTTGCGATGCGAGCTCTGCTGCCAGCTGGAACAGGTTTGCGAGCTCTGCTGCCAGCTGGAACAGGTTTGCGATGCGAGCTCTGCTGCCAGCTGGAACAGGTTTGCGATGCGAGCTCTGCTGCCAGCTGGAACAGGTTTGCGAGCTCTGCTGCCAGCACCTGCTGGTGCAGTGCAGGGCGCACGTTACAGCACGGATTCACAGAAATTCACGTCCCCCACTGACCAATGACAGGCCCACGCGAACCAAAACAAAAACACCTCTTCTCACTCACCAGACCCGGCATGAGGAAGAGAGGGCCGCCATAGTCCCCTGCCCAGTGCCCGTCCTCCGCCTGAATCGTCTCATAGAAGCGCACCGCCCTCCTTAGAGTCACTTCCACTGTTGCCTCGTCCACCGCTGTGGCTGTGGACACGGGCTCCTCTGCTACTCGAACAGGTGGGAGCTGATTGGCGGGGGGCTTGCCTCCTGTGAGCTGGGATGGGCGGCAGAGGGGAGGGAAGAGGAGAGCAGGAGCGGGGAGGAACGAGGTGAGACATACAGCATCCCCTGCAGCCTCATCAGGAGCCGTGAACGGGGGGTTCTGACCGACAGACGCACAGGGGGGGAAGGGGGGCACACTTACAGACACATAGTGAGCTGTAGCGTGTGAACAAGTGCATTTGATTTCGATTCACACCGCTCATGATTTTGTGGTGTGGGGTGAGCTTTGGTCGAAAGTGGTAAACTGCGCGAACCGAGTGGGGAAGAACTAAAGTATCCTGTATGCAACGGACAGGAGACTAGCGTGGTGGTGTGAATAGTTCCTTCGAGCCACATTCGGTAAAACTTACAATCACATCACCTCACGCCCATGAGTATATCGCTGCAAAGTTTCCGCTCCTGCCCGTGTCTCAACTTCCAACGATTCATTACAGTCACACTCGTTACATCACAGTCACCTGCAGGCGCATGAGCGCATCGCTGCTGTGCTTCCTCTCTGCCTGTGCCATGTCAATTCCTCATTATAGTCAGACTCGTTACAAACACCAACCTGCAACCGCATGAGCGCATCGCTGCTGTGCTTCCTCTCCTGCCTATTCCTCGTGAACTCCTCCCTCAGCCTCTCCACCTCCTGCCTCTCCTCCTCCGTCCCCGCCGCTGGGTCAAACTCCCAAGTCTGCGTGACAGGGGAGAGGAAAAAAAGGAGGTGACGAAGAAAAAACAAAAGCTTGATGTTCATTCATTACCATACAGTCCGCTTCCTTCGTCTCGAGCCTCTTGAGACGGTTGGACGCATCGCCGTCACTGATGAGCAAGGAGGGATGGAGGAAGCAGAGAGAAAGGATAACGGAAGGAGGAGGGAGCATAGAGAAGTAGCAGACTAGAGCAGCAGACGGACGGGGGTAAGTGACTTCAAGCCTTCCTCCTGTCATGCTCTGTTGACTCTACCTCAATGTTTATCCATTCACACGTCCACAACACCGTTCTCCCTGATGTACGTCATCGTTTAGAACCGCAATCCCGTTGACAACAGTTCAAGCTGACAACAGTTCAAGCTGTTGCGTGAACTCCCTGATGACCGATTCCTAGTAAGCGGTTGCACAGGTCCCACGGGTACATTTGGTCATACGAATATATGGCAACATTCACAGCACCGTTGCGTTCCTTATCGCTTAGACGCGCTTCAACAACCGCACTCTTGTTGGTTTCAACGTTGGCGGGACGCTGATAGCAGTTCAAGCGGTTGCGTAAACACCATGTGAACGATATTAGTAGGCGGTCGCACAGATCGCACGGGTAGATTAGGTCGAACGCTCAGGCCGTTTGGGTCGATCATGTCGCTCAGGCCGTTTCACAGGTCGCACAGGCATCGTGTAGCGCGGAGGCTAACCATCTCTCAACACGTTCATTGTCGCACATGATGCTCGAACGTCTAGCGTCGCAACTACCGTCGCACGCGTCGCCTGGCCGCCTACGGTCGCACCTGTCGCCCAGGGAAGTCGCTGACGCTCGTCAGGAACGGACTGTCCCCTGTCGCCACGCGAAGTCGCCACATTGCGACTGGATCGCACACAGATCCACTGCTGACGGCCAAAACTGCTTATATGAAATGTATACTACAAATCGCGTGGAGAACTTGCAGATTCAGAGTCTAGAATCTGGTCGGTGGTCCTCTAGTCTGACTCACGTTGTTGTGGGTGCTGTGTTTATCTTCATTCCAATCATTTAGGGGAAATTTCATTTTTCCGTGGCTCAGGACGGTTCCATGCGATGTAGAGCAGTTTTGGGACTTTTAGTTTTGCACCGTGACACAACGGATTAGACCGTGAAGAACGTACAAGAAAAGCATGAGCTGACCATTGACCACCTCCCTCCACGTGCTTCAGGAGTTTCTCATGATTGGTCACAGAGCCGAGCATTACCGTTTCGGAACGCAATAAAACAACACATGATTTCAAAGAAACAGATGCCTCACATTGTCAGGGGAAGGGTGTTGTAGAACCTCTGAGGTTGCTCGATATTGGATTTAGTCACTAACAACACGCGGATCTGTTTATAATATAAGGAGGAACGCACCACATATTTATGATACAATCTACAAAGTACCTCTTCAACAGTGAGGTTCCTAAGCCACCTGAAGGACGCTCTCCATAGGAGAAAATATATAACATTTTGGAAACTAGATGCTTACACTGACAGAGCTGCGGCATGTGGCAACAGTCTAAACTGACTTCTTACAACTCACCAAAACATTGCAGGTTATAAACTGTTGAACATTTGTGTGATATGACAACCATCCTACCTCTGCTAGTAGCCTGCTAGTAACTCCATGAATTAGTAAGAGATATCAGTAAGAGTATTGCGGACTCCACCAGTGAAGTGTTTGCAGTCATATGCTCCTGGGCTTTCAAGCACCACAACCCTTGAATTCCTGCGTGCGTCGTTCAATGTCCCAAACCAGCCACACAAGAATACGCACGCACACTACAAGAAACTGCCCCATCCGGCCGCTACCAGTGCAGGCTGAGACATCCCTCATCTTTAAACGCTCTTGCTATGATAGTACTTCCTCCTCTTGGAAACAATCGGTCCTAAGCGCCTCTGTCGTGTCGAAACACTAAGACACAAAAGAAACGAAGTATAACGAATTGTCAAATGTTGTAGCCTGTAGTGAGGTTTGTCTTAGGGGGTACAGAAGTTAGGGTTTGTTATATGTACCCCAACCAACATCAATGGCATCATCATTCCTCATTTTGACATGGTATCAGCTAGGTTAGGATCCTGTGGGATCCCGTTCCTCCGTTCTCCGTTCGTCCCTCCCGAGCCTGATCCTACCTCTCGTTCGTACCGGTTCCGTTGTTACCGCGCCTAGTACCGAGCCTAGCGCCCTCTCCCCCGTCGCTTAGCGCCCTTTCTCCCCGTCGCCTAGCGCCCTTCCCCCCCCCCCCCCCCCCCCCCCCCCCGTCGTGTCGCGCCCTTTCCCCCCGTCGCCTAGCGCTCTTTCCCCCCGTCGCGTCGCGCCCGTTCCCCCCGTCACGTCGTGCCCGCCCTTTCCCCCCCGTCCCGTCGCCCTGTCCCGTCGCGTCGCCCTGCCCCGTCGCGTCGCCCTGCCCCGTCCCGTCACCCTGCCCCGTCGCGTCGCCCTGCCCCGTCGCGTCGCCCTGCCCCGTCCCGTCACCCTGCCCCATCGCGCCGCCCTGCCCCGTCGCGTTGCCCTGTCCCGTCCCTACGCCTTGGCCCGTCGCCCTACCCTACGCCCTGGCCCGTCGCCCTACCCTACGCCCTGGCCCGTCGCCCTACCCTACACCCTGGCCCGTCGCCCTACCCTACGCCCTGGCCCGTCGCCCTACCCTACGCCCTGGCCCGTCGCCCTACCCTACGCCCTGGCCCGTCGCCCTACCCTACGCCCTAGCCCGTCGCCCTACCCTACGCCCTAGCCCGCTCTTCCGCTGCGACTGAGTCCCCTTCCCACCTGAACCCTAATTTGCCTCTTCTCCCCGGTTGTTACTCGCCTGTTCGTTCGCGTTAGTTCTCACTATGGCGACTCCGCGAGTTCTTCGTTTCGACGCTGACGGTAGACCACTTGACTTTTCCGTCTGGCTTCTTCGCGCTCGCCGTCTGTTAGAGAGTCAGGTCCAGGGGGGCGAGACCCTCTGGTCGCACGCTACTGGTGACCTCCCCGAGCCCCCCGAGCCTACAGCTTTAGGCTCTGCCCCTGACGACGCTGCTACGGCTCGCTTTGCCCGTCAGCGCGCTGACCGGACGGCTTGGACGTCGCGTGACGCTGCGGCCTGCATCGCACTCAGCAGCCTCCTCCCTGAGTCAGAGGAGGTCCACTTTACTCAGGTTCGCACCGCTGCTGCGTACCTCACTGCGATTAAGGCCCGCTACTCTACTCCCGCTACTGTCTCTCTTGGCCGTCTTTTCCTCCCGTTCCTGTTTCCTGATCTCGCCTTGTTTGAGCGCTCTGCTGACTTGATCGCTCACCTCCGCTCGCTCGACGCTAGTTACCGCGCTGCTTGCACTGAGGCACAGCTTGCACTGCTTCCTCCCCCCATGGCGATTACTGTCTATTTCATCGCCACTAGCCTCCCTGACCGCCTAGCCTCCGTTCGTGACGCGCTTCTGCTGAAGCACCCTAGTGACCTGACTATCGAGGTCCTTGAGTCTGCACTCAAGGACGTCGAGAGCAACCTTCGCTCGGTAGCTGCCGCCTCTGGTACTGTGTCCCCCCCACTCTTCCACGGGTGCACAGTCCCGCAGTTACCCACCTTCACTGCCTCTCTCGCCACTGCCGCTACTGACGCGACTGCGGCTGCTGTTACGACTGCGTCGCGGTCCCGCGGCAAGGGGGGCAAGAAAGGTAGTTCTGGTGGAGGTGGAGGTGGAGGTAGCGGAGGTAGTGGGGGTGCTGTTGCGACTGGCGGTGGTGGGAGTGCAGCGTCTGGAGAGACCCCTCGTGCAGCGGCTGGTGACTCCACTGCGCCTGCTGGTGGCGGCGACCCCCGAGCTCGTCAGTCGCCTCCTGTACTGCCGACCCCGCTAGGTGGAGCAGCGGCGTGGTACCAGGCTCAGCGTCAGCAGCACCTTCAGCAGGAGCAGCAGCCCCTTTCCTCCCGCCAGCCTCAGCAGCAGCAGCGTCAGCAGCTGGCTCCGGGGTCGGGGCTGCGTCAGCCCCAGCGCGGTGCTTCTTACCCTCCCTGCACCTATCAGGTTCTGACAGGTCCTCGTCGGGGCCACCCTTGTGGCCGCTTTCACCCCCCTGGTCAGTGCTTTGCTCAGCTCACTGACACGGTCCGGTTGGCCTACGGGGTTGGCGGTCCTGCTCTTGACTGGCTTCCTCTGGTTCAGCGCTACGGCTCCGCTCTGTGGGGCATGTCTGCTGAGCAGTTAGTTGATCTGATTGGTGCTCCTCATGCTATGTATGCTGTTGTTGACTCTAGTGTTTCTGACTCTGTTTACTCTGGTGTTGTTAGCTTAGGTGCTAGTCTTGCTCAGTTGCCTGTTGCTAGTGTAGGTTCTTGTGTAGACTCTAGACCAGCGACTACCTCAGAGGACGCTTCGCTGTCGTTCACACTGGACTCTGGAGCCTCACACTGCTTCTTCCGGGACAGCACGACACTTACACCACTTCCTGCGCCTGTTTCTGTGGCTTTGGCTGATCCCACTACGGGACCAGTCACTGCACGTCACACTACCACTTTACCGTGTCCTGCTGCTCCCTCCGGGTCTCTCACTGGGTTTCACGTCCCCTCGTTCTCCCGGAACTTGGTGGGCGTGCGACCCCTCGTGAGTCAGCACGTGGGTGTGTGGTTTGAGCCTTCTGGAGAGACTGCGGTGTGTGTTGACGAAGACTCTTACCAGCCTCTTGCTACCTTTACTGCTGAGCCGGGCTCAGGTCTCTACACTCTTCGCACTGGCCCGCGTGCGCCGTAGCAGCAGCCGCAGCAGCAGCAGCAGCCGCAGCCGCAGCAGCAGCAGCAGCAGCAGCAGCTGCACCAGCGGTCGCACCAGCAGCCGCCCCTACTGCCACTGCCCCCGGTTCCCCCCCCCGTTCGGGTCCCCGCGTCTCACCAGGTTGCTTCGTCCCCCCAGGTGTCTGTGTCGTGTCAGGTTCCTACGTCTGCTCCAGTCGCTGCGTCGTGCTCCTGCCGGTCGCTTGCCCACCCCACCGTT